CCGCCATGTGATTGGCTGATTAGAAATTAAGTGTTAACGAGCAGTTGGACAGGTGTACCTAATAAAGTGGCCGGTGAGTGTATATAAGTTACATAATTTGCTTTAACACACTATAAATGAACTGTGAATAAACAAACCGTGGACATTTCAGTACTGGAAGTCCTGCATCTTTGTGACCTCTGCTCCTTGTGGCCTCACCTGCCTCCCTCTCATTCAAAAACCTGGACTCTGAGKCTGTGTCCAAMTTCAGGAGCTACATTCTTCGAAGGCTGATYATGTCACAAACGATGAACCAAACACACTTTCCCCCAAATTTATTTGAGAGAAGGTCCGGGGGAGGGTAGACAGACTGTCCCTGTAGGGAAGGACACTGTTTTATCTTATTTATTGGTTTGTTTGTTTGTTAACATTCTTGAGGCAGTGAGACGTAAAATAAATTTGAAGCCATTTTTGAGAATAAACTAAGATTTTTAAAAATCCGTGACACCCTATTCCATCTGTATACCTGCAAAATGGAGGGAAATCTGTGAAATTTACAATCCATACAACCATCTGCAAACATCATGGGGGGTTACTGCCTGACCTGATCTGTTATCCTGTCCAGAAACGTTTGCACAGAATCATGCAGTCAATCTGCTCTGTCAGAAATTTAGAGAAGCCAAGAAGTTCCTACAATGTGATTAATAATTATTTACACTGTAGCTATAAGGAATCAAATCATTTCAGGTGGTAGCTCAAGATTCTGCATATTTTAGCTAAGACTCTGGTAAAAGTCATAAATAATTTTCGTAGATAATGATGAAAATAGAAACAGCAAAGTTTTGCACAATATTTTTTAATAATATATATATATTTCTCATGTACATCTAGTGTTCATACACACACTGGCTCGTGTATATGTGTGTGAATCACAGCTAAGTGCCACATGTTGGAGAAATGTCTGCCGCCCCCGGAGCGTGCTGTCGTCACCGGTCAGCTCCTGGAGCGGGACCTGCCCMGGAGGAGGCTCCCCGCTCCGCTCCGCTCTTCAACTCCGGAGGAGCCGAGGGCAGGACTCACAGTCCGAGGCAGGCCAGGCAGAGAGAGGAGGCTGCCCTCTCCGGAGATGTGAAGATATAAACACCGCGACACTTCCGCAGCGTCTCTACGCGTTTCAGCCGAGGGTCGAACTCTTTTCTTTCCCCTCCGTCTTCTTCTTTTTATAAAGTAAATGCCGCAGAACCGCACGCGCCCTTCTTCTTCTTTTCTTTTATTTCTCGTATTTATAAGCGACCACTACTATGGCAGTTCACATCCGGGCCGCAATGRTTTGACTCCATTATTGTCCAAAACTGACGGAGAGGTTGATTAAACCTTAATTTTATCATCCGAACGACCCGTTTTCTCAGTACTCGCAGAGTTTGGATCAAGAGGAGATGTCTAACCAGGGAGTTCGGAGGAACGGACCCGTGAAGCTGCGACTAACAGGTAGCTAGCAACGCTTTAAATCCCCCTCAAGTGCAAGTCTATTCCCCCACACACAGCAGCTAAGGAAGGCTGGGTGTATTTGCTGGATGAGAAGCAGTTCTCATGAGCCACGGAGTTGTGTTGCAGCTTTGTGTTTTTACAGTTTATTAAAGAATTATTTAAAATATTAGCTGTATTCACAGGATTTGTGTATTTTTTGTGGGGAAACCCGAGGAGGCGGAGCGTGAGGAGAATTCGGATGTTCTTGGAAGTAGTCTGAGCCTTAGTGGATTGCCACCAGCCAAAACAAGGAGGTATTGCGGCTGCTCTTATATCAGCTCTGGCTTAATAAAAATAATAAAATAATATTTCACACGACACTTTTCAAGTCCATTTAGCAACGTCTACTGGGATTAAGAGCGCAGCCGCTCTGACAGACAGGCTCACAGTTAAAGTTGGCTAGCTAGCTTAGTTAGCTAATCGGTCCTTTTTTAATATAAATATTTCAGAACAAGCCTCGGTTGAGAGGAGTCTGCAGCCGCCACTGAAAGGCGAGCAGTGTCCCATTAGTCGGGGAGCCAAAGGCTCAAAAACGGGTTGAACCGGACATGGTCTGCCATACTTTGTATTTGTGATTTTTTTTTAAATTAATTTTGACCCTAAGTGACAATAATTGGAGGGTCTGCTTTGCTGGAAATATCGCGAAAAAAAATTTGTGGCCATTTTAATGTATGCACCCTTTATTGTTTTATCAGAAAAATGTGAGAGGTGATTCTTTCAAATCATGATTTTGGTTGAATTTAATGCCAAAAAAAGACATTTTTTTTTTACCTTTTTTTCCCCCCAATATTTGCTTCTTTACTGCATTGGCAATCAACTATTCCCCACATGTCATTATTTTCACCAAACAGTATACTCATTCTACAGA